AGATTCCATCAAAATCCTAGAGGAGAACACAGGCAACACCCTTTTTGAACTTGGCCACAGTAACTTCTTGCAAGATACATCCATGAAGGCAAAAGAAACAAAAGCAAAAATGAACTATTGGGACTTCATCAAGATAAGCAGCTTTTGTACAGCAAAGGATACAGTCAACAAAACTAAAAGACAACCTACAGAATGGGAGAAGATATTTGCAAATGACATATCAGATAAAGGGCTAGTTTCCAAGATCTATAAAGAACTTATTAAACTCAACACCAAAGAAACAAACAATCCAATCATGAAATGGGCAAAAGACATGAAGAGAAATCTCACAGAGGAAGACATAGACATGGCCAACATGCACATGAGAAAATGCTCTGCATCACTTGCCATCAGGGAAATACAAATCAAAACCACAATGAGATATCACCTCACACCAGTGAGAATGGGGAAAATTAATAAGGCAGGAAACAACAAATGTTGGAGAGGATGTGGAGAAAAGGGAACCCTCTTACACTGTTGGTGGGAATGTGAACTGGTGCAGCCACTCTGGAAAACGGTGTGGAGGTTCCTCAAAGAGTTAAAAATAGACCTGCCCTATGACCCAGCAATTGCACTGTTAGGTATTTACCCCAAAGATTCAGATGCAATGAAACGCCGGGACACCTGCACTCCGATGTTTCTAGCAGCAATGTCCACAATAGCCAAACTGTGGAAGGAGCCTCGGTGTCCATCGAAAATGAATGAATAAAGAAGATGTGGTTTATGTATACAGTGGAATATTACTCAGCCATTAGAAACGACAAATACCCACCATTTGCTTCAACGTGGCTGGAACTGGAGGGTATTTTGCTGAGTGAAGTAAGTCAATTGGAGAAGGACAAACAGTGTATGTTCTCATTCATTTGGGGAATATAAATAATAGTGAATGGGAATATAAGGGAAGGGAGAAGAAATGTGTGGGAAATATCAGAAAGGGAGACAGAACATAAAGACTCCTAACTCTGGGAAATGAACTAGGGGTGGTGGAACGGGAGGATTGCGGGGGGTGGGGGTGAATGGGTGACGGGCACTGTGGGGGACACTTGACGGGATGAGCACTGGGTGTTATTCTGTATGTTGGTAAATTGAACACCAATAAAAATTTAATTTATTAAAAAAAAGATTGGGATCCAAAAGCTATAAAGAATTTATGAAAGTCAACACCGAAAAAACAAATAATCTGGTTAAGAAATGGGAAGAAGGCATGAAAAGATGCTATTTGGAAGAAGACATTCAGAAGGCTCACAGATACATAAAAAAATGCTCAACATCACTCATTATCAGAGAAACACAAATGAAATCCACAGTGAGATACCAGCTCACACCTGCCAGAATGGCTACAATTAACAACTCTGGGAACAACAGATGTTGTGAGGATGTGGAGAAAGGGAAACCCTCTTGCATTGTTGGTGGGAACGCACATTTGTGCAGCCACTCTGAAAAAGAGTATGGAATTTCCTCAAAAAGTTGAAAATAGAACTATGCTACAATCCAGCAATTGCACTAATAGGTATTTACCCAATGCATGCAAAAATAGAGATTAAGACATACATGCTCCATATTTATAGCAGCATTATCAACAATAGGAAAACTATGGAGAGAGCTCAAATGTCCATCAACTTTTGAATGGATAAAGATGTGGTGTATACACACACACACACACACACACAATGGAATATCACTCTGCCATCAAATAAATGAAATCTTGCCAATTGCAGCAACGTGGATGGAGCAAGAGAGTATTATGCTACGTGAAATAAGTCAGTCAAAGAAAGACAAATGTGATATGGTTTCACTCATAAGTCAAATTTAAAAAACAAAACAGATGAACATATGCAAAGTGAGGGGAAAAAAAGGAGAGAGGGAAACAAATCATAAGAGACAATGATAGAGAACAAACTGAGGGTCGATGGAGGGAGGTGGATGGTGGAAGGGCTAGAAGAGGGATGAGCATTAAGGAGGGCACCCGTGATGAGCACTGGGTATTGTATATAAGGAATGAATCACTAAATTCTACTCCTGAAACCACTATTGCATTATATGTTAGCTAATTAGATTTTAAATACAAATACATACATGTATACATACATATTTTAAATGGAAGGATGAATGGAGAAAGAAAATTAAATATTGCTCAACCTTAAAAAAGAAGGAAATCCTGCCATTTCCTTTTTTTTTTTTTTAAGATTTACTTATTTATTTATTCAGAGAGAGAGGCAGAGACACAGGCTGAGGAAGAAGCAGGCTCCATGCAGGGAGTCTGACATGGGACTTAATCCCGGGTCTCCAGGGTCACACCCCGGGCTGCAGGCAGCACTTAACCACTGCGCCATCAGGGCTGCCCAATCCTGCCATTTCCAACAGCATGGTTGAACGTGGATAACATGACCACATTCTAAGGGAATTAACCATACATTGAAGGACAGGTAACACATGATCTCACTTAGTGGAATCTAGAAAAATAAAGTCAAGCTCAATAACAGAGTAGAATGGTAGCTATCAGAGGCTGGAGAGGAGGGAGAAGGGCAAATAGTAATCACAGGGTGCAAACTTTCAGTGTTGAGAAAAAGAAGTTCTGGAGACCGAATATACTGCATGGTGATTATAATCAAAATACACTACCATATATTTGATATTTGTTTAAAAAGTAGATCTTACATGGTCTTACCACACACACACACACACACACACACACACACACAAAGTAACTCTGGGTGGTGATAGATATGTTAATGCGTTTCATTTGTGGTGATCACTTTATAAATCAAAACATCACATTTAAATATATAGTTTGCATCGTAAAAATATATGTATAAATAGTTAAATGGTGAAAAGCTGAATGTTTACCCCTAACATCAGAAACAAGGCAAAAATGTTCACTGTCACCACTCTTATCCAAAACCATACTAGAAATCCTAGCTAGTGCAATAAGACAAGACAAAGAAATAAAAGGCATGCAGATTAGAAAGATAAAAATAGGAGTGTCCCTCACCTGCATCCCAATGATTATCGCAGCAATGTCCACAATAGCCAAACTGTGGAAGGAGCCTCGGTGTCCATCGAAAGATGAATGGATAAAGAAGATGTGGTATATGTATACAATGGAACATTACTCAGCTATTAGAAAGGACAAATACCCACCATTTGCTTCGACGTGGTTGGAAATGGAGGGTATTATGCTAAGTGGAGTAAGTCAATCAGAGGACAAACATTATATGGTTTCATTCATTTGGGGAATATAAAAAATAGTGAATGGGAATAAAGGGGAAAGGAGAGAAAATGAGTGAGAAATATCAGTGAAGGTGACAGAACATGAGAGACTCCTAACTCTGGGAAATGAACAAGGGGTGGTGAAAAGGGAGGTGGGCAGGGGTTGGAGTGACTGGGTGATGGGCACTGAGGGGGCACTTGATGGGATGAGCACTGGGTGTCATGCTATATGTTGCCAAATTGAACTAAACTAAACTAAACTAAAATAAAATAAAATAAAATAAATAAAACTTTTCTAAAATAAAAAAAATGGAAGTGTCCCTATTTCAGGTGACATAATTGGCGATGTAGAAAATCTTGGGAGATATAAAAAAGAACATCTCTGCATCTAATAAATGAGTTAAGCTAGGATGTAGGAAATAAGATCAACACCAAAAATCAACCACATTTCTAGATAATGAATATGTGAAAACACATTAAGAACACAATAACAACTATAATCACACAAAGAAGGTAAAATACTTGAGATGTGCATTGAACAAAACATGTATGGTTTTCCTGTGGAGAATGAAATGCTGGTGAAAAGACTCAAAGAAAGCCTAAATAAACACATGTTGTGTTCATGCTTTGAAAGACATGACATAATAAAGATATAGATTTTGCACAAATGATTGGTAGGTCTAAATCATGTCTTACAAAATCCTGGCAAATATTATGCAAACATAGATAAGCTAATTCTAAATTTGTATGGAAAGGCAAAGGAGCTAGAATACCTAAAACAATTCCAACAAAAATAAAATGGGAGGAATCACTGTTCATGATATTGAGACTTACTATATAGTTACAGTAATCAAGACACGGTGGCACCGGTAGAGGGATAGATACAGAGATCAATGAACAGAACAGAGATTGAAAAATAGATACAAACACATAGGCCCGACTCAGTTTTGATACTGGTACAAAAGCCATTCAATGCAGGAAGTACAGCCTTTCCACAAGTGATGCTGGAGTGCTTACACATCCATAGGCCAGAAATAAGGATTTTTGACCTAAATGTCACAGCTCACAATTAACACTAAAAATTAACACAAAATGGATCACAGAATTAAATGTGAAACACAAAACTATGCATGATTCATATTACAAATATAAAACATAAAAGTATATACTTAAATGTAAACTATAAAATGAACTACTCTGAGAAAATTCTTGGGACTTAGGGCTAGATAAAGAGTTTTCAAACTTGATGCCAAAGTCACAGCCCATAAAAGGAAAAGAATGTTAAATTGGCCTTATCAAGATAAGAAATGTTTGCTCTGCAGAAGACTCTCATACAACAAAAAGACAAGCTACATACCATGCCTACAAAAGAAAGTAAGCAGGACGCTGATGATGGAACAGCTCTATAACATGAATGGGGTGGAGGATACACAAGTCTACATGTAAGATCAGTGTTTAGGAGCAATACACACGTGCACAAGGTACATTTGAGTGTGCCTAAAATCACTGAAATCTGAATAAGTTCAATGGCTAGAACCAATGGCTATTTCTGCTTCCATATTGTACTATTATTATGCAGGATATTACCTTAGGAGAAAGGGCTTGAAGACCATAAAACATGGGACCTCCTATGACAACCTCCTATGAGTCTGTCATTGTGTCAAAACGAAAGTTTTATGAATGAATAAGTAAGTAAGTAAGTAAGTAAGTAAGTAAGTAAGTAAGTAAAATTAAAATAACTCTAAGCCTACCTGTCGGTTTGTGAAGACAGAATAACATTCTTTAACTAGCACTGTTTTGATCATGTCTGAATCCATGATAGCCAGCACAGGCTGTCGCCCATCATAAAACCTGTGTCGGGAAAACAGAGCTGATTATATTAACATGACAGTTTCTGCAGCTGCAGCCACACCTGGAAGTCTCAACTTTTATCCTGACATTATATAATCTAAACTCTGACATCATGATTAGAAATAACAGTAGAACATTTGTTAACTCTAGGTGATGTGTACATGGATAGTTCCATTCTCTACAGTTTTTTGCATGTTTAGAATGTTTCAAATATTTTTGATGTATTTTAGACATTTCAAATAATGTTTATATATATCATCCAGAAGAAACTTAGGTTAGTAAGTTTGACATGGGGCCCAAGAATCTGCCTTTTGAACAAGCTCTCCCAGGTGGTTCTTGTCACAGCCAGGCTCGAGAGCCACACAGTAAAGACAGAACCGGGGCACATGATGTAATTCTGACTCCATTCAGAGTTGAGCAGTGCTGAAGGTGGGCAGGGACAGTGGAGCTAAACCAGTGTCCATCCAGAGATCTGTCTTCTTTCTATTCCATCATGCTGCTTATGGGCCTTGCCACTCAGAGCCCCACGGTCTCTGAGGATGTGACCAGAGAAGATAAAGAGGTAAGAGGAGGTACACTCCTGGCTGTGAGCATCCCAGAACCACATCATATCTCTCCCTCAGCTTCACCAAACCTCTGGCAGCTCTGCACAGGAGCATCCAGTGCAAGAAGCCAAGATCACACTACAAAATCACCAAGTCCATCAGCCCACCAGGAAACACTGTGGCTTAAAATTCTCTTACATCTCAAGTCCACAGAATAAAGAAATACTTCCACATTGAATACTTCCGTTGAAAGAAAAATCTGGGCCTAATATTAAAATGCAAAACAAACTTCACACTTACAAAAAAGTAAGAAAAAGGTGAGTAGCAAGTCAATTGGTGAAGGACAATCATTATATAAGTTCACTCATATGGGGAATATAAAAAATAGAGAAAGGGATTATAAGGGAAAGCAGAGAAAATGAGTTGGAAATATTAGAGAGGGTGACAAAACATGAGAGACCCCTAACATTGGGAAACGAACAAGGGATAGTGGAAGGGGAGGTGGGCGGGGGCATGGCGTGACTGGGTGATAGGCACTTGACAGAATGAGCATTGGGTGTTATAAGTTGGCAAATCGAATTCCAATAAAAAATATAGATAAAAAAAGAAAAGGTGAGTAGAAATGGTTTTCCATTCTGTTTATCCAAACCCTTCTTTCAAAAGATATATTTAATCCAGACTATAAATAAAGGATACACTCCAGGTCCGATTTACACTTAGAGCTGCACACGTGGTGGGATCTTGGGAAGGAGAGCCTCCAGAAGCTTTACTACAGCAGGCTTCATCACAAGGGGCTCTCGACTAAGACTGTCCACACCACAGGGTCCTCCTCATCACAACAGGCCTAACCAATGGAAATGTCCAGAATACTCACCCCCACATTCTTCCATACTTTCTAAAACATTTCCCATCAAAATCACAAAAACCCTGCAAGAAAAAGCAAAACATATTATTAGTCTAAATGTACTGAGCCCTATGGGTAATGGGGAACAAAATGACTTAGATCGCATGAAATGTGCCTTACAGCCTCTCACTAGCAGATAGAGGGAAGCTGTTAATCACAGGGGACTATCAGAAATGAGAGAAAACAGAGGATATATGGAAATGGAGAATTTCATGTCCCTCTTGCACTCTTTCCAAGTGTTGGAGATACTGAACATCTTACCCTGTCTGGGAGGACTGGGTAGTCTCTGTGTGTCTGATGTGTTTGGCTTGTGCATTATATCTAAATCTCAGAACCCTCTGAATCATTACCTCAGGGCCATGTAGAAGACTGGAGCTGAGGGAAAGGCAACATGGCTGCATATTCTGAATGTCAGATAGCATTCTGTTTGTTGATCTCATGAGCCCTACTAGATTCCAATGGATTTAGGATATTTGTTTTATTTTATGTTAATTTTTAACTCTTTATTTTTTAATTTTTTTAAAAAAGATTTTTATTTATTTATTCGTGAGAGACACACAGAGATAGGCAGAGACATAGGCAGAGGGAGAAGCAGGTTCCCTGCGGAGAGCCTGATTGGGACTCGATCCCAGGACTCTGATCATGACTGAGCCAAAGGCAGATAATCAACCACTGAGCCACCTGGGGGGTGCCCTAGCTGATTTAGGATATTAAGGCACCAGTGACCTCTTTTAATCTAGCAGTTTTATATGAGTCTAAACATGCTTGTTTAGTGAGAAAGTGAGGAATGAATGAATGACAGAGTGGACTCTTCTTCCAGTTCTCCATCACAACACAGAGAGGAGATAATGCCCTCATCCCACAAATATCAGAGCCAATTAAAATACTTGATAAGAGTTTTCATTTCTATCACTAAAAGAACAACAACAAGACTTCTAATGCCTACATTTCAACTGTGATTTTGATGTTTTAACAATACAAATCAGGATCCCAGAAATGTGGTCTTGGGTGTATATACTAAGGAATTGATCTGGGAAAAGTGGAAAGGAAATTATTGTTTCTTCAGAGGGAAAGTCCAGAAGTTCTTAGACGATAATTGGGCACTGAGAGTCTCAGTAGGGAAAAGCAGTGTGGATGGCCACAGACTAGCTAGAGTTACTAAACCAAACCAAGCTCGGACTTGCATCCCTCATTTACTCATAAAGCTGCTTGAGAAAAGACTTGAGCAATGGTTTCCGGAGATCGCTTTTACGTGATCGCCCACATAATACAATTGATATAATGTGTTCTAGCCTGGTGGTAAAGTTAAATAGGGGTCTGTGCTATTCTTACTGGTCTGTTAATCATATCTATTGTCCTTTTGAAAGCGTATGCACCTAGAATAGCATATTTACCTATTAACTAGGACCCTCCTGTGTCAGTAGGGTCTGTCATGCATGTGGGTATTCCTTTATCTTTGTTCTGCTTGTGCTATATAATACCGTAAGAACCTTGAATAAAGTTGACACTGCTTGGACATCATCCGCTGTGTCCCTCCTGTTCCCATCTCTTTACTTTTCTTTTATTTTCCTCATCTCCTTACCCCCAGGACCCTAATCGTGTTGCCGCAGAGCGCGCAACAAAGTGGAATCAGAGAAACAAGCCTCAGATCTGTGGGAAAGGAACTCCACAGCAGAGAGCAGCTTGCAGGTGAGACTGCCGACTTCCTCTATGTGATCTTCTAACCCCTGTCCAGAGGCTAGGCTTCAGACAAGGCATCAAAGCTGGATTACCCACAACCACTCTACCAACATCAGTCTGTGTGTCACTAGTATATTCCATTCAATTACATTAATTTCTTTTTTCTTAAAGATTTTATTGATTTATTTCAAAAAAGAAAGAGAGAGAGCACAAGCAGGGTGGGGGGTGCAGGGAAGAAGCAAAGGGAGAGGAAGAGAGAGAATCTGAAGCAGACTCAATGCTGCCTGTGGAACAGATGCTGGGCTCCATCCCATGACCCTGAGATCATGACCTGAGCTGAAATCAAAGGTCTGATGCTTAACCAAGTGAGCCACCCACCCGGGCTCAACCAGTTACATTAATTTCTTAATAATTTTGTCAAAGTATCTCTTTTCTAGGGATATATGGGTGGTTCTTGCTTTGTAGGAAAACACACAAGACCTTTAAAGGTTAAAACCTGAAGTCAATAGAGAAACAGCATCTCACCTCAGTTAAACTCCCTCCCTGCTGAACTCACACATAGGGTGTCTCTTTTGAAGGTAGAGAAGTAAAGCTGAGATTTCACTGTTAGCAAAGGGAGAATTAGATGCATGGAAATAACTGCAGGGGGTTGGTCAGTTCGTGAGATAACTCAGGTATGTGCTAATTCCCCAGTGGTGAATCTTGGGCTGCCCAATAATCTGAAGTTCAAGAACCATCCAGGAAATGGAAAGGGCTATCCAGGGCTTGTGCAAGAACAAAAAAGTCTGATTCTAGCATACATAGCTCACTGGACCACTAGCACGGACACCCTGGTTCTCTTCTCCTAATACCAATATGATGATGCCTTCCTGGGAATCCACACCTTCCAAAAACAAAACAAAAGCCTCTTCATAATGCTCATAAGCTAAGGCATCAAGTTCCATGCTGAATTAGTCAGAGAGCTGGGCTGCCCACTGAGGCAAACCCTGAGGCTCGTAATAACAGACAATAGAGCTCTGGGGTAGACCTGACACCATTTCTGGAAAGTCAGAAATCGGAGATTTCCTCGTGAGAAGGAGCATTTTTATTATGGAATTAAAGTGGGATTTGCAATTGACAGAAGCAAAAGTCATAGCTCAAACAATACTCACATTACGGTAGCCAAGAACAGTTCCCAAAAAAGGCAGAGGTGTTGGCCCAGGAATTCCCAGCTTCTTAAAAAGTCCATGCGTGTAGGTCCCATAGCTATAAAGTGAAAGAGAAAGCCAGGTCACAGGGATGGTGGAATAGGTGCTGGGGCCGGCCAGTCAATGACACAGAAGTGGAATAGTCGAGGGAGGGAGGAGGTAACAATCGGCAAGAAATGATAACAACAATTCCAACAGCAATAATTGCATTCGCTCATCATCATCTGAAGATGATGTTGATCATCTCCTTTCCAGTCTCCACTGTGAGACTGTCAAAACGTAATAATGATTAGCTAAGAGTAGCTGAAAATGTCGTGGTCTCAATCCTAGAATGAATATTTGATAAATATTCCACCCTTGAGTGCTCCTGAAAGATTCATGCTGATTTCTTCCAGGAAATTCAGTTATGCCTATTTAGTAAATGACTCTTCCATGATTTTGGAGATTCTCATTCTAGGTGGAAAGAGGAAATGTGATTCTCTACTCTAGTGATGAGATTTTGCTTAATTGCATCTACTCAAGAGCTGAGAGGTTACTGAGAGCCGACCATGAAAATACTCATACAGTTTGCTCAGAGATCTTTGTGTTTTTCCTTCACTATAGGCTCTGTGATGGTTCTGAATATGGGTCTTCTTAAATCTATCTTCAGCGAGAGAGGCCTTGAGCAACTACAGTGCTCTTATGTTTGTATAATAAAAATTATGTCCAAACTCCACTGTCCCATAGAAAAGTGACAGCTTTGCTAACAGTGAAATCTCAGCTCCACCCAAGTCTCTGTTGTGGAGCAGTCTGGTTCTCTTGAGCTGCAGAGAAGACAGACTGGCCCATATGTGCCCCAAATGACTCCATATAAAAGAATCAGTAAGAAAACAATCCACTTCCAGACCATTCTTCCCATCGTGGCATCTGGTCCTTCAGCCTGTGATACTCACCTGCTCAGCACACTGCAACGTACACTCATTTTCTCTTCAAGATGGTTACTCACAACGCAGTTAGTTTACTGGCTCTGTGCTTCCACTGTCTGAGAAACCCACTACGGTTGATGCTCCCTATGACAGGCTTGCCTACAATCATCTTTCATGTGTCATGTGTAGAATCCCATAACTGGGGGTTCTAGATACTTAGAACCCTTCCACTTAGGTTTGCTGAGGGATGGCAGGGTGGAGGAAGAAGAAAGGCTGAGGATAGGAGCTGCCAGAAACCATTTTATCCACGAACCTGCTAGGCCCACAAGGCTAACCCAGGAGAGACAAATAAGGAAAGTACAGTTGGAAACGGTGTTGGGTAGAGATGGTACATGCCCTGCAGGGGCTATCTGATATGAGACCTTCCAAAGTCCAGACACCTCCAGTTGATAGCAGAATACATGTTATGCAACAAAAATGAGTAATGATAAAATGTTCCATAGATTGGAATGAAGACCCTGTCTCCTCATCTCTGGGGACTAGCCTGAAGACAGTAAATGTTCAAAATAGTCTCTACAAATCCAGCAAATCATATAAAATGTAAACAAACTCACAAAATTGCACAAAATGACCAGTATTTGAGGGACCAGTGGGTGTACCTCAGCTGTGCCCGACTGAGTGTTTGGATCCTTCCTCTAGTACAGCTGGACTCATCAGCACCAATTGTAGAAGCCAGGGTAGTCTTAGTTGGTCCCACCTCCATTCTCTTCTTGCCATCACCACCACTCTAAATCAAGTCCTGTTTCTGAACATTCACTGTGCTCCATGAACTCCCAAGTGAGGCCAAGCAAGTGAGGGATAGTCAGGAACACTGGTCCCAAGGAAAGATCTTGTGTACTGTCTAAAGCCACATGGCTCCATAAGATGACAGGGAGTGGGCTGAGTGAATTTTTCTGATTCTTTCCAGCCTCCCTCTTCTTGGTAGAGTCATGCAGCTGCTGGTACAAATGAAGGGCCTAACATAGAAGCCATTTTTAAAATTGTTTTTGCTTGCCTGCCTGCAGAGGGCACTGTCTACAGCTACTGAGTCTTGATTACACCAGTGTCTTCTAAGTCCACAGTGTTGTTTGCCTGGTGGTGATAGTATCCAGTGACAGCCCCATTGCCAGATGACACACTGGAACTTACATGGTGTGTTCTTGTTCCCTCGCTTCAAGCAGATGAGATGCTAACCTTATGGTCCCGTGATGATCTCCTGTCGGACCAGGACAGAGGAGTATTTCTGGGAGGTCTGTTCTGAGGGATGAATATTCTCCTGCTCCATCCCCAGTTCTATCTGGATGCCTCTCACATCAGTTCTGGCTCTGTCTCACTACTCACCTGTACTGAAAAATTAAAATAAGCTGTGGGCACATGCATTTAAGACACATACAACCTATATCATAGAAGAATGCATGTGTACACTAAATTCATATTACTCTAGGAGATGTATGCTATTTATGCACCTTTACAGTCACAAAGGCTGAACCAACAGCCCTCTTTTATTGGTAGGAAAAATCATACTAGAAAGACTCTTATCTCAGCAAAAAAAAACAAAAAACAAAAAAAACCCAACCCTATTGTTAAGGAGAATGAAATTAAACACTATCTATTCATTTTAAATGTCATCATACAGAAATGTTTTGCCACACTACCTAGCATTCTAACCTTTCTCTTAGAAAATGAAAATGTTCTATGTTCCATGTTTTATGTTTAAATCTCATTATTTCCTCCTCTTAAAGAAAGTGAAATTGAGACAGAGGTCAAATATGATACGGAGGGTCTGTCCCTACCCATGTTGTAAAACTCAATCCTTTCCCAAACTGCTCCACGATGGTGGGAATCCCATCACTGAAAGGAATTCCCCTGCCAGATGTTTCAATTCCTCCTCCAATACTGTAATATAAAGGCAAAAGCATAGTTTAAATCCAAATTGGCTTTCAGAGCTCTGCCTCTTGGATGCTGGCAGATTCATATTGAGGGATAGGGGAAAAAAAAAATCTCTATCCTGATGCTAACCATTCCAGAGACTGGAAGGAAAAGGTAAAATGAATAAATTTTGAAAGATTTCTACCAAGTTTCCTCAGCTCTAAAGATGTTGATTTAGGGGTAAGGAGTTCTGCACAGTACAGGGTGAGGGATGGCCAGTAGAGGGGTGCAGGAAAGAGGGAAGAGCTCAGTCAGAAGAGGGGAGAAAAGCATCTCTAGCACCTCCTCGGTTGTCAGGGTGCATCAAGTGCCTTGTATTCATAATGCCTGGCGGTAGAGGGGGGGGAGCAGGAGCCACCTAGTGATACAGGCCCAATCCTATACATATCCTGTGGAAGGCACAGACCAGAAGGTGAAGGTAATGAGCCAATGACCAAGCCACTCCCTCAGCCTCCAGAATCCCCACAGCTTACGAAAAGGATGAGGACCCCAGGGTATTGGGGCCTGTTGATCTTATTTTGCCTCTCTTGAATTCTGCTTAATTAGTCTAGGTCCCAACTGGTGGTCCATCAGAAGATCACCCCCAGAAGCAACTACTGTCACTCAAACCCTCCTAGCTACAGGAATTGGAGTTGCGGTGTGGTAGGTGTATACTTCAGTAGATCTGGTGAGGTCAATAATAATCTTTTAGGTGTTCACAGCATGTTTGAAGTACTCAACACTTAAGCAACTTCTCCTTTCTTAATTCCTTGAAACTCAAAACAGACAAGGAAAAGGGAGTGGATGCTGATTAGCAACACAAATTGAAGGTTCTGGGGATGATGAACCTGGGTAGTTACTTACAGGTAGAACAGCACCAGGCTGGTGGCCAGAAGAAGCCAGGTTTCTGTGGAAAAGCTTGGGATCAGGTCCATGGCCACTTTCTCTCTGTGAGTCTCCTCTACTTTTGTTCAGCAGTGTGGGCTATTCTTTGATGACCTGCGTGTGTGCAGCTTCCCTTCCCATAGCAATGATTCTGTGAGGCTGGAATGTGTATACTGAAAATGGGGCAGGACTGGAGCTGGAGCCAGTAGCAGGGCCCTTTCCCCCAGCCATGAGTGTTGGCAAAGCATTATGGACACACTCCCAGATTGACCTTTGAGATCATATTCTGTCCAAAATCAATAAACAACTCAATCAGTGTTATCGGTAATCTCAAAGGTTACAGAAACTCAGGTAAAGTCACCGTATTTAAATCCCTCACTTGCCCTTGTCACCATGGCTTCCTTTATTTTTAAATACATGAAATCCTTCAAGCAAAACTAAGTCTGCACATCTCTACCCATGTGGGTTCCTCTGACTACAAATGTCACTGGGCTCCCTAGAAAGCTCTTACCCATCCTTCAAATCCAGCTCTGATATATTCCCCTCTATTGGAGTCTTTCTTCAGCAACCTCCTTGAACACATATAACCGCTTTGTCCTCTGGGAGATTTCTATCTCCTATGCCCCAGTTCTATTATTGTGAAGGTTGGTGGGGTTGAGTTGGTAAAGGTGCAATTATTGGGCTTCCTCTTGGTCCTTTCTGGGTGAATTTTTGGTGACCATCCCACATACCTGATGGGTGAGATCTGAGAACATAGCATCTGGAAATTACACCTGCTCATTATCATCACTCAGACACATGTTCTGTGTCTGTATGGCCTGAGAAACTGTGGATTATGTGGCATACCTCTGGAATCTCTGGGACAATGGAGGTGTCCCAGAGAAGTGCCTCCAATCCTTAGTACCAACAATGCATAGACATAGGAAGCTGGAAGACAATCCTAGGAAAAGTAGGGGAACAAATCCCAGGAATTCTGAAATACTTCTGCCCCCTTTTGGGGTATTTACTGGCCACCATTCAATAGGGTCATGCTATTCCGTGTTACAGATGTAAAGACTGAGACTTAATGACTGCAATGGGCTTTCCATCAGCCATTGATCACAGGAACTTATTGCAAATAAATGAACATACAGTGAGACTGAAGAGTCCTCTGCGCTCTGCAACACCAGAGCCCTTCCATGATGAGTATCACTATAGAAAATTGAGACCGAAGACTACAAAAGCAACCTGGTTAAGTTTCTGTTCAAGACCTTCATGGTGACCTGAACAGGGGTTTCCTTGTGGGTCTCCCACAACAAAGAACTCTGCCTCATCTCAGCAGGGAAGGCAGATTGCCAATAGAGGTGATAGTAAGAATATCGTTGGATGGGATCTGCCTCCCTAAGTTCCCCAGCAGAGAGATACACAGAATACACGCAAACAAGGAAAGATTCCTGTCATTGGATAACAGGAACCACTTACATCTCTCACGTAAACACAGAGCCTTTCTTATTTTACTTGGAAATCAAATCTCTGTGGAAACTAACACGCCTTCATCCTCCTCCAAAACCCATGCTCCACTATGACAATTTCCTAACCAAGCCTAATATGAGTATCCACCTGCCCTATTCACCTCAGGTCCTGCTCTAGCTGCTTGGAATCTGTCCCAACAGTGATATCCTAGCCATTGCTGGGGACCAAAATGCAGCCAGCACCGGACCAATGCAGATGGTCTTGTCTGTAGGGGAAAATAATAGAAGCATGAGGTTTGTGCCCCATCCTTCCCCGGCAGGGGACACCTGACATGACAAGATTCCCATTCTCAGAGCTGTGCAGAATGTGTTAAGGAAGACAGTGAGCATCAGGGACTACCCCGCATGCTCTGTGGCTCTGAGCACTCCTTCCTGTACAAATATGCTCATCATGTACTTTCCAAACTCTAATTTTGTGGGGGTAAAAATACAGTTAAGACTCAGACATCATTCAGGTTGAAGATAGGGGAATCTAACAGATAATTATAGTATAGCCAAGGAAAAGAAACTATGCATCTTCCTGCACAGAGAAGGATTTCTATGCTTTTCAGTCTCCTTCACTATTGTGTAAAACTGAACCTCAGATATGTTCAGGGAAGTCTTAGGCTCAGATACCAGTGCTGGTGGACAGGCAGTCAGAAACTCAGGGAGGAAAGGAGTCTGGGCCATCTAATATTCCCATCCCTTTATATCCTGAGCCCATCTGGCACATCTTCTCAGAAGCTGGGCCTGATTTTTTACTGGCCAAGAGAGAACTGCTCACAGTCGGAGAGTCAGTGTTGCTCTAGAATGATTTGTGCATTATATCCAAATTTCACAGGTCCCAATCTCAGGTTATAAAAATGAAACCAAGATTCCCTGTCTGTTCCTAAGCTGTCAAGCCCTCATTCTTCTCAGTAAGCCCATACCTGAGTTTGTCAATTTTGGATTACCTGGGGGTATCTAAGTTTTGGTGATTGGGTCCTGTGGTTGGTGTGGGAGTGGTGAAGTAACTGACTGATTCATGGACATTCCGAAAACTGGAGGAGATGGGTCCTTCTCCCATTTCCCTACATGTTGGTTGGGCTCTACACCTGCTGCATTTTGTCCATGGGCCTAGCCCTAATATTAAAAGGTCAAAATATCTGCCTAATGAACCTGATACTCTAAAGGTATGAGAGACACTAAACAAATAACCACACGACCATTGGGTTATAAATCAACACCTGCTATAAGGTAAGGGTATCTGGTCTATCTGGTGACTTTGCCCAACCAGATACCTGACACTCACGGGCCCTTTAGAATTGTTCATTCAATATGAACTCATAAACAGTTCCTCTCATGGCAAGAGAGGACAAAAGTTATAGAGTAACTCCAAATTATGCAATGTAGTCTCTTTCAGCAGAATGAGGAGATGTGAGTCCAAGTTTTAACTGATACATAATCAAAAAGTTGGGAGTTTGCTGAATGTGGACTATTGACCTTTTTCTTTTTATGGATTATGTTTAAATGGCTCTTTTTACCACATGCTCTGTCAGGAGACACTGAGGACATAAATGTTTAGAGACTTCATTTCCTGGATTCTATTTCTTTTAAGATTTTATTTATTTACTTATTTTATTTATTTATACACACACACACAGAGGCAGAGACATAGACAGAGGGAGAAGCAGGCTCCATGCAAGAAGCCTGATGGGGGACTCAATCCGAGGACCTCAGGATCACACCCTGAGCCAAAGGCAGACTCTCAACCACTGAGTCACCCGGATGTCCTCATTTCCTCGATTCTAATTGAATCTGCAAGTCTGTCCAGCTGTGTAAACACAAGGTAGGGAGAAGGACCACCACCTTAGTTTTCCCCAGCCCTGTAGGATCTAAAGAAACACCAGGATGAGAACCCACTTGTCCTCCATCCCCTAGTGGGCAAAATTTGTGTCAAAACAGTTCCCAAGTAGAAAGATATCTTGTAGGTCAAGAAAAGTTAAATCCCAAAATGAACCAAACCGTAGGAGTAAGGACAGCACATTCTCTCTTGCAAACACAAGGATTAAGAAAATTTAGTTGGGACTTCCAGGCAGGCCTGCTGATATCAGAGAGGCAAGTGAGGCATTCCACTTATGGGCAAAATTGCCAAATTCTCAGTAATCATATAAATTACACTCTTTATTTGCATACAATATCTTAAGAAATCAATATTATGCAAGAAATCAATGATGGAAAATACATTCAAATTTATTGAGTCTTCTCTCTCTTCTTTTTAATAAGGTTGGCTAATGGTTTATCTATCTTATTCATTCTTTCAAAGAACCAACTCCTGGTTCTATTGATCTGTTCCACCTTTCTTCTGGTCTCAATTTCATTGAGTTCTGCTCGAATCTTTATTAACTCTCTTCTTCTGCTGGGTGTAGGATCTATTTGCTGTTTTTTCCTCCAGCTCCTTTAGGTGCAAGGTTAGCTTTTGTATTTGAGTTCTTTCCAGTTTTTGAATGGATGCTTGTATTGCGATGTATTTCCCCCTCAGGACTGCTTTTGCTATATCCCAAAGATTTTGAACAGTTGTATCTTCATTCTCATTAGTTTCCATGAATCTTTTTAATTCTTCTCTAATTTCCTGGTTGACCCTTTCATCTTTTAGCAGGATGGTCCTTAACCTCCACGTGTTTGAGGTCCTTCCAAACTTCTTGTGATTTAGTTCTAATTTCAAGGCATTACGGCCTGAGAATATGCAGGGGACGATCCCAATCTTTTGGTGTCAGTTAAGACCTGATTTGTGACCCAGTATGTAGTCTATTCTGGAGAAAGTTCCATGTGCACTTGAGAAGAATATGTATTCAGTTGAGTTTAGATGTAGAGTGCTGTAGATATCTGTGAAATCCATCTGGTCCAGTGTATCATTTAAAGCTCTCGTTTCTTTGGAGATGTTGTGTTTAGAAGACCTATCGAGTGTAGAAAGTGCTAGATTGAAGTCACCAAGTATAAGTATATTATTATCTAAGTATGTCTTAACTTTGGTTATTAATTGATTGATATATTTGGCAGCTCCCATATTCAGGGCATATATATTGAGGATTGTTAAGTCCTCTTGTTGGATATATCCTTTAAGTATGAGATAGTGTCCCTCTTCATCTCTCACTACAGTCTTCGGGGTAAATTTTAGTTTATCTGATATAAGGATGGCTACCCCTGCTTTCTTTTGAGGACCATTTGTTTTTTTTAATAAATTAATTTTTATTGGTGTTCAATTTACCAACATACAGAATAACACCCAGTGCTCATCCCGTCAAGTGTCCCCCTCAGTGCCCGTCACCCATTCACCCCCACCCCCGCCCTCCTCCCCTTCCACCACCCCTAGTTCATTTCCCAGAGTTAGAAGTCTTTATGTTCTGTGTCCCTTTCTGATATTTCCCACACATTTCTTCTCCCTTCCCTTATATTCCCTTTCACTATTATTCATATTCCCCAAATGAATGAGAACATACACTGTTTGTCCTTCTCCGATTGACTTACTTCACTCAGCATAATACCCTCCAGTTCCATCCACGTTGAAGCAAATGGTGGGTATTTGTCGTTTCTAATGGCTGAGTAATATTCCATTGTATACATAAACCACATCTTCTTTATCCATTCATCTTTCGATGGACACCGAGGCTCCTTCCACAGTTTGGCTATTGTG